CCATGCGGCGTTGGCTCGGTGCTCTCTCGGATATGTAAACTGTAAACTATGCGACCTTGCCTAAGCGCTCTATCGGCTGTTTTAAACGATATTCTGTTTTGTGAGGCCCAGAATTAACATGTCGTTTATGAGGCAGTGGAACTGCCACTGATGTCTGGCGTGCAGAGGTAGGGTTTTTAATCTTCTGTAATCAAGAAAGCCCTTAGGAATTTTTATTTTTCTGATTTGTGTTTGATAATTCTAGCTGTTGTCAAAAATCTTGAAGCTGTCACTCTTTCATTTCTGACATTCATGAATTGAAGTCAAATAATTCTAGACGTTTCTTCAGAAGTCTCCTCGCTAAAGACGCACTCCAGGAGCAGGAGAATATTAAATTTGTGGCTACATATTGTATATTTAAAATCCTTACATAAACTTTTTTTTTTAAGAAGGAAGTTGCTTTTCCAACCAGTGAGTGCGGTCTATGCTGGACATGATTTCCAGGCAAGTATATGAGTATGGTTATGTTGTAGCAGAGAATCACATGTTCCTCCTGTCCACAGAGAGTCAGTAGTCTGTTGCTGCAGCCAATGGTGGGCTGGTAGGAAGTGGAACCATCTGTTGAGCAGAAGGAAGACAAAGCGACGAGGATATGAGTAAAGCATTCAAGCTGTTGAGCTCAGCTGCATATTATGGTGTCATAAAAGGGCACTTTACGGCCTAGGCGACTTCCTGTTAAATGTCTATCGAGCACTACAGGTCGGTGCCCGACGTCTTCTCATGAAATAGTGACTATGATGCCTAGGAGCACCATATCAATGTCAGCAATGCTGCAGACGAGTGGACTAACAGCAGAAAGCATCTCTTCCTGCTGGCGTTAATGCAGAAATTTGCTTGGCCATTCAGCGTCTGGATCTGAAAGGCCGCTCATCAGTCTTCCGCCTCTGCGACATGTCAAAAAGCCAGTTTCCCCACTCAATGGGAACTTGTGGCTCCCCAATTTTGCACGGGACACACCGTTCCAAAGAACGCTATGAGATGTTTCAGTACGACCGAACGTACATCCTTTTCATAAAAACGTATGCTTGACTGTTTCAAGACAATTGTGATGCCCTGATCGTTTATCGAGTACAGCGACGACCATCGGTTTGTCGCTGCACTCTTCAGTGCCGTATTCATACGGCTGCTCGAACGTCCTTGGCTACGGCAGGAAATGCTCGCACCACTGTAATCATTTAATAGGAAGTTATTTATGACCCCACCTGTTTTTGTTACCGCCATGGCCCTCCTCTCGGTTTCTCGTCAGATTGTCTTTCTTCTGCGCCACACATCCATGAAGCTTGTGACACATTAGTCTAAGCTTGAAAATAAATAACCACGTTGGAAAGCTATTTAGCGACTATGAAACTTTGCATAAACTTCAAGACTTGACGACTGAAATCTACTTCAATGTGGACCACTTGGAGATAATTTGTTGTAAGCACAAGCTTGTACTCCTTCCATTTTCCTCAACCGCCGAATGTATGTGCAGCATTTGCTGCAGGCTATACGAGGTTGGTCAGAATAATTTTTCATATTTTTTCATCTCATCTATTCGTAAACAACACTTGGAGTATTTCAAATCATCTAGACGTGCAGTGCCACCTCCAGAAAATTCTCTTGTGTGCGTCCCTCAGAGCCGCATGTTGGTCTGTGTATCCAAATAAGCAGCTCTGGTCTTTATGCTTGTTTGACAACAGCTTGGGCCATTAAATTTTTGCAGGTTTAATGCCATCACTGTTTCATGATTACATGACAAACAAGGAGTCTAATGCATAAGTTGCAGCCATTAAAATTAATTTAATTCGGAAGTGCGACAGCGCAATATTGAGGCTCACACATTTCCGAGGGAGCAGTGAGTAATGAAACTGACACAAAGAAAGCATTACTTTCCACTATACTTTTAGCACAGGGCTAAAGTAAGTTCTAAACACAATAAAACAACACAAAATAAAACATACATTCTCACTAGAGAAAGAAACACACAGGACACAACATTCACAAAACATGATATTTAGAAATGTAAGAATCAAAAGAAAGTAACTTGAAAAAGAATGGAAAAAAGCATAATACCATAATGAATTAAAAGATCACGAAAACACAAAAAAGACAAGGATGGAGGAAGGTGCACATAGAACATGGACAAGCTCTGCACTTCCTTCGTATTCATCTTATTTCCACTTTTTTTATTTAGGTCATTATGAACCAATAGCCCAAGAAAAGCATAAATCACATCCTTTTTTTTCTTCTTAAATCTAGCCTCAAACATCAATCAGACAAAGTACTTCAGTTAGAGATTATATAAATCGTTGCGATTAATGAACTGAATTTTTTCTTACCAGAACGTCAGTCTCAAAGCTTTTCTTTTGTACTTGCTTAACCCAATACCGCTCTGCGGTGTCCAAGTCCGCTGCACTTAGCCCTCCTCGGTACTTGTCATTTTTTAGGTCCGCGTTGTTAGCGAACCTAATGACCCAGGCAGTTATCCGGAGAACCTTTTGGCATTTGTTATAAGCTCCGGCATCGAACAATGTTGGCACCGCCAGTCTTGGGTAGGTTACTTTTAAAAAGTAATTCGTTACAGTTACAGTTACATCCAGAAAAAAGTAGCGAAGTTACCGTTACAGTTACCGCAACAGAAGAGTAACTCGTTACAGTTACAGTTACTTTTAAAAAGTAACGACGTTACTTTTCAGTTACTTTTCTATAACACAAAAAATAGAAAAAACTAGAAAACGCCCCTCACCAAGTTTTATTCCATAAAATTAAACAGTACGCTTTTTACTTCATATTGTAACTTAGCAAAGTTGCTTCTCGAAATTAGTGTTCGAAAATTTCCACGCCAGAGTAGTGTCGCAAATCAAAATACGAAACATGCGCAGTGTGGAGTACTGGCGCTAATCAAAATGCGAAACATGCGCAGTGCCCTCCGCGTGTATTATTTTTTCACAGTTGATTCACCCGATTAAAAAGCGTTTTCACAGAATAAAGAAAAACCACAAAATAGATAGTGCTTCAAGACACTAAGATGTAAGTGTTCAGTCACGAAGTACAAGCGCGTGCGTAAAGATAACGAGATTTTTTTCGTGATATCTACACGTGGCTATATTCGGGTCGTGGCTCGTGAGAAAGAACGTATTCACAAGTTTGTGCAAGGCCATCTTGACACTCGAAATGACGGAATAGACGATTTGAAAAGTGCAAGTAAAATCTAAATTGGTACTCGATCAGTGATATATTATTCATAAAACACTGGAAAGTAACGACAAAAGTAACGTCGTTACTTTCATCGTTACCATAGAAAAAAGTAATAGAACTACAGTTACAAGTTACATTTTAAAAAAGTAACTCGTTACAGTTACAAGTTACCAAAAAAGTAACGAAATTACAGTAACGCGTTACTAGTAACGCGTTACTACCCAAGACTGGGCACCGCTCGATCGTTCTCCAACAACACCTGTGTCTCTTTTTCGACTTCCGGTTGTGACGTGATTTGCAACGGAGCTGCGTTTCCAGGCCATTTTGAAGGCTCTTGGCACAACCATTTGGGTCCTTCCCACCAGATGACACTGTCTCGAAGTTCATGAATAGTCAATCCTCTGGTCGAGAGGTCAGCCGGATTGTCTTGACCGGGGCAGTGCCTCCAATGGCCGGGTGACGTCACTGCTAGTATTTCCGTTACCCTGTTTTTCACAAACGGGTTCCATTTCTCCGGCCCTGCTCTCCCCCAACTGAGGCCAATTGTCGAATCCGTCCACATGATGTAGTCCAGGTCCACGTCATAATAGGAGTCTTTTATGTATTGTAAAAGCTTGGATCCCATATTAGCTCCCATGAGCTCAAGCCTTGGCAGTCTTAAAGGTTTTATTGGTGCGACCCTGGTCTTCGTGACAACCAACATGGTGGCTACATTCCCTTGGTAATCCTCAGTTCTCAAGTACGCGCACGAGCCGTAGGCTTTCATGCTTGCATCTACAAAGACGTGTAATTGCATTTTTCTCGCTCCTGCCAGAACACCACGCCTTATGTATCTCGGTACTTTCAAAGAGTGCAGCTGCACAAGATCCGTCGTCCATGCGTGCCATTCGTTGACCAACTCTGGGGGTAGTACTTCATCCCAGCTCATCCCAATTAGCCACAGTTTTTGGAAGAGCAACTTGGCCATTAGGACGAATGGTGCAATCAGTCCCAGAGGATCAAATACTCTTGAAGCTGCCTTGAGGATGAACCGCTTGTTGTCCAGATTTGCAGTGAGGAATTCCAAAAGAGACTCTGCCTTGTACATAAAACAATCGTTTTGCTGGTCCCACATCTTTCCAAGTACTTTGATGATTTGCGAAGGTCTGAGACTCTTTTTTTCTGATATAATTTCAGGTTCATCATTGTTGAATTGCAGTTGTAATTCTTCGTTGTTAGCTGTTCATTTCCTCAAGGTCATTCCAGCGCTTTTCATAACGTCAATAGACATTTTGTAAAGTCTCATAGCCTCCTCAACACTCTCAGCTCCAAGAAGTAGGTCATCGACATAGAATGCCGCTCTTAGTTTGTCTGCTAACACTGGCTGTTGCTCGCAGACCAGCTTCAGGTGGTGATGGATAGTGGCCGTGAGCATGAATGGACTTGATGTAGATCCGAAAGGTACTCTGGTCATCCTCCATTCTTGTATGTTTTTCTCCTTCAAAGGGAAACTTGGCTCTTCCGCAAACCAAAGAAATCTGAAGGCATCACGATCCTCTTCACGAATACCAATTTGTAAAAACACCTTCTCAATGTCGGCAGTCATGGTGATCGGGTAATATCTGAACCGGAGCAGGACTTGTAGAAGCTCGGAGTTTAAATTGGGCCCTGTTTCCGGGCGCTCATTCAAAGACTTGTACCCTTTGGCGTGAGAAGATGCATCTAAAACTATCCTTAACTTTGTTGTCGTTGAATCTTCTCGTATGACTTCTTTGTGTGGCATGTAGTAGATAACCTTCGCTCTGTCACTTTCTTTTCTCTGGTACCACTTCCGCATGTCCATTAAGCAGGTACTGCTTAATTACCTCATCATACCGCTGCAACAATCCATGTTTTGTTGATAGTCTCCTCAACAGGCTTTCCAGACGTGAAATTGCAATTTTGCGATTGTTTGGCAGCAGATCAGTAGCGCCTTCTTTCCATAGTAAAGCCACTTCGTATCGTTCGTTCTTCCTGACGATCGTCTGTTCAAAACGACTGATGGTTTCTGCATTTGTATCGCCCAATTCGCGTTCGGCAGTACCCATTCTGTCTAGCTCCCAGAAGGCCTTCAGCGTCTCTTCTACCTTGGCGTCAGTTGTCTGCGCTCCAAGGACACACATCATTAGACAGGAATCTTCTAGGAGCTTTCCGACTTGTGTTGACGGACCTTGCAGCGTCCAGCCCAGTTTCGTATTGATCGCCACCAAATCATCTACGTCTTTGCACCTCATTACCTCTCCTGTGCAGAACTTCCACAAGTGGTCAGAACCGACCAGCAGACTTATCCCAGGAACTAATTCTATACCTGGAAAGATTATATCGTCCGCCAAGTTCTTCTTGCCCTGCCGAAGCTGTCGCACAGATGCGGTGTCGATTGATGGTGTAGAGACGTCCTGACAGATGACTGGGATGGTAATAGCTTCAACCGTTATTTCTATGTTGTTAAATTGGCTTCTGAGCTTTACCTCCACCACGGAGTTGTGCTCTATAACCTTTGTATTACGACTGGCGAACGTGTTCAGGGTGATCCTTGTTGTCCGAAGGACCCTCAATCCAAGACGTTGTGCTAGCTTTTTAATGAATGAGCGTTGGATACCTCCGTCAAAGATTCCTTTGACATAGCTGGAACCTTCGTCAGTGACCGCCCACGCCTTGAACGTTTGTAGATATATTCCATCACTATTCTTTCTTTCGGAGCGTGTGGCCGCGTGGGATGCGGAAACACAAATTGTCTTGTCTCCTGCAGATGAACCTTCCCTTTTCTGTTTGACGAACGCTGGATTGCACATTGTGGTTACGTGCCTACCTCCGCATATCGCACATCTCAGTTTTCTTTGGCGATTTTTCGCCCGGTGGCCCTTGAGTGTGCATCGAAAACGCCTAAAGTTCAATGACAGCAGGTTCGTTTTTTCAGCTAGCTGTTTGTCGCAATCACAAGATGGTGTGTCGTGCTTCTTGGAATGACAAAAGTAGCAGTCACCCGCCTTTACATTGGTGGTGCTGTACAGAGCAGATGCAGATGGGAGCAACTTCATCTTTGTCTCATTCTTGATTCTTGGGTACTCGAGCCCGCTTCTTTCTCGGCTTTCAACTTCCACGCGCAAGAAGCGGAGCATTCCATTCAGCTCTGAAACTGAATCAGACGGAATAGTTGGTGAGCTTGAAGTTGAAGCTGTATGACCGTTCTCTTGGTCTAGAGCTGAAGAGTTACCGAAAGTCATATTGTTGAGTTGTCTGTGATATTCAACTGTAATCTCGTAGGGTAAAGCCCTGACAAGGATATCACACAGCATGGCTGAGAAACTTGATGTAGGTACCTTCAGAGAGGTGAGGCATCGAATGTTGAGCTGGGTAGTGTCATACAGGTTTCTCAGGCCTTTAACATCGCCGGCCGACGCAACTTGCGGTAGATTCCTAAGGGCATTCAGACGCTGTCTTTCTATTCGCCTCTGGTCTCCAAATCGCTGCAGTAAAATGGTGATTGCTTCAGCATAGCATGTTTCCGTCGTTGGTAGACCGGCTATTGCTGCTGCAGCATCTCCAGTAAGACACCGACAAAGGTAGTGAAACTTATCTGTGGATGTCAATGTTAAATTCTTGTGAATTGCACCATCAAACTGCTCCCAGAATGCTAGCCAGTTGCTTAGCTCTCCCTCAAAAGTGGACAGTTCAAGCTTTGGGAGCTTTGGTCCTCGACTGGCTGAGTTGTCTTGAAGTTGTTGCACTGCCATATTCGCCACTGAATTTTCTAGTCTCCGAGGTTCCAGGGAGTCAATTTTGCTTTGCAGTTCGCTGAGTATCATGACTGCATCGTCTTGATATTCAGCAATAGCGATACACTCCTGTTCCAACTGCTCTATCGGAATGAGTGGCTCTAGCTCACCGTCAATTTGCAGAAGCTCTGCGTTGTTGGTAGTGAACCTTTCCTTGATCGAACGGACTTTAGCAATGTCCGGGCTGGGATCCTGTAGAACTCGATGCCCGTCGTTTATAATCCTGGTGTTCTGTGCCCGTCGAGCCGAGCGCCTAGCCTTCAACCTCTCCATTGCCAATCAGTAGTTACGATGCAATGTAGTATCCTTCCGAGGTTCCGTTTCTTTTCTTTGTCCAGTGGTCTGCTTTTGCCTATGATTCGCCGAAGTCCGTCGCAACTGTAGGCTTGGTATTTCTTTGGCGTGTAGCTGACGGCCTTGTGATGCAGAAACGTCCCGGGTATCGGCACAAAATGTTACAAAAGTAATAAAAACAGAGGCAGAAAGATAGACAATTCGGTCGGGATGACCTTACTCTTTTACTGTTCGGGTCCATCTCGTTCACAAAGGTTCGCGCTCTCGATCCCGTTCGTCTTCATCTTCCATTTGCAACACCCCCCAAGGTCACGTGACTCCCCGAGGTCACGTCACCCCTTCCAAGGTCACCTCAAGGTCGCCTGACCCCCAAGGTGACCCCCACGTGACCCCCGAGGTCACGTGTCCCCCCTCCCCGAGGTCACGTGACCCCCCCCTCCCCCCGAGGTCAGGTGACCCCCCGGAGCATATTAAAGAATGAGGGGAGGAGGAGAGGGAAGAGGAGGAGGAGGAGGGGTCTACCCTCCCCTCAGTACCCTTCCCTCCTCCTCCTCAAGAGCTGCGCTCCAATTCGGCGTTACAGGGAGTTGTAAACGGCTCTCACTTCATGTAGTGTGGTTTGCCCATGTTCTTCGGGATTGGCTTGCCGTCACCCATGATGTTGATGAATTCCCACAGTGTCCTCAGCAGGGGGATGGGATAAACCTTGTCGGCGCATGCTACAGGATACCTGGCTATGCTTCTCCCTTCTTTAGTGTACTGTAGTCGGGTCTTGTGGGCCTCTTCTTGATGCTTGACAAGGTCTTTGATATCTGGGAGGAAGACACATTTCCTGAGCTCTTGTTCATTGGCATGTGTTGGTAGTCCTGAGACCGTCTTCCTCGCGTCGTTGATGAGCCGACACAGTTGTTTATCGTCGTTCGCCCTGAGGCGATAGAACCTTGCAGACTATGTGATCTTAGAAACCAGAGTTGCCATGATCCGCTTCTTGGCCACCTCCTCCTCAGCTCCACCCATGCGCGCGACGATTCTTCTCAACCTACGAGAGCCTTGCTTCCATTGCCTTTTGATTGTGTGTACCAATTTTTGGTCGGCTTTGTAGCCGAAGTTCAGGCCCAAAACTTTGATTAGAGCTTCTCGCTCAATAGGCTCTCCGGCAAACTTCAGCTTGAGGTGTTTCTCGCGGTATCCCTTACCAAAGACGGGGTATTTAGACTTCTCGGGGGACGGGTACATGCCGACTTCTTACAGGTGTGCTGCTATAGTGTCGAGCCCCCTCTGCAATGCCATGGTCTCGGCCGCACACTGCTTCTATGCGTCCAGGTCGTGATGTCGTCGGCATAGGCTGTTGCCCTCGAGAGTGAAATCTTGTGGAGTTGCTACAGCTAGGGTGCTATCACAATGTTGAAGAGCGTTGAGGACAATACTGCCCGCATAGGAACTCCAGTGTTATTTTCCGTGGTACTTCCTTCTTGGCTGCCCTTGCCGTAGCCGGCCCGGATCTTGTAGGTTCTTCCAAAGAGGATGGACTTTTCACGAAGTCTAGAAGCTTTCCGACCAGGCCTTGGCCCTCCATTTCGCGAATCACCGACTCGCGGGGCACCGCGTTGAGGTATATTTTTAATGCCCATGGACACGATTGCCCTCATCTGAGTTTTCGCAGGGCTCAGGTTTCCGACGCACCTGAAGATCATCCGGAGGCTGTCATGCGTACTCACTTTGGCCCTAGAATCAGTCTGCGTCGGGTGGAAGATCTGCAGCCTGTCAATGTTGCATTGGGCTCTGGCCAATACTATCCTGTCCATCATAATGGAAGTTAGAGATAGGCCAGACATTCTTTGGATTGGTCGAGGTTTTTCCAGGTTTCGAAATTGGCGTGACAAGAGACAGTTTCCAGTCGTCTGGCAAAACACCACATTCCCATATTTTGTTAAACCAGTTGAGAATGAGCTGTCTTGTTTCGAAAGGAGTGTTGCGGAGCATGAGTACCGTGATTTCATCCTGCCCAGGAGCCCCATTGTTCCTGCACTGCGCAATCGCCATGTTAAGCTCCCATTCCTTGAAAAGGGGGGGGGGGGGGTATCCAGGCTTGCAGGTCTACTGTCAGTGGGCAGGTATAAGCTTCTGCCTGGCTTCTCCTCTGGCTGCGGGAAGAAGATGCCGTCCAGCTTGTTCATGATTTCTTCGGTAGATTCGTAGGATAGCTGGGCTATGGTAGATACTGAGTTGTTTCGTTTCTTCTTTCTCATCGGGGCGTTGGAACTCTCCTGGGCCCGCCCTCCGGTTGAACGTTTCACAGAGGCTATGCCATCTATCCGCAAATAGCTTAAGGGCGTATCTTCTGGCGTTTTCCGTGAGTGCGTTCATCGTGCCCAGGTGCTTCTGCTTTTTGTGTTTTCTGCATTTTTCGATGGTTTTGGTCCGCTTGTCCCACAGCATGAGCAGGTGAAGATCCGGATCAGGGGTACCTTCCTTAACCTGCCTCTCTTCACTGGCCACGCTGGTTGCCGCTGTGAGGAGTGCCGTCACTTCTGCAGGGTCACAGTCGTGTAACTAGAGATTTAAGTTTTCCCTAAACTTGTCTCACATGACCGTTCTTTTGGTTCGTTTAGTCCTGAGGTTATTGCATCGAGGCTTCCATCACTATTAGAAAGTGGTCGCTGCCCCAGGCGTCCTCGTTGGTCCTCCATACTATCTTCTGGACTGCGCTTGGGTTTGCCAAAGTTATGCCTATGATGGTATTGGTCTGACATCTGTTCCTGTATTGCGTCGCTTTTGTGAGATCTTTAACGATCCCCAGGCTACAGTCTACCACCGCTTCGTAAAAGTGAGCAGATCTGCTGGTGTTGCAGAGTGCCCCCAAGTCTTCCAGGTGTACTTTCAAGTCGCCTCCGAGAATGACATAGTCTTCTGCATACTGTTTCGCTAGTGCAGGGATTTATGTGAAGTCGCTTTTTTTTCTTAGGCACAGGTATACCGATGCCAGCAGAAGTCTATTCTTGATGTTCTTGAGAGATGTGGGTACCGCAACCGCTTCCTGTTCCTTGTTGCGCCATTGGCTCGTGTCCACTTGGGTGCACGGGAGGGACCTGCTGACGAAGAGCGGATCCCTCCTGTGCACGCAAGTGGACACGATTTTTCGGCGTTTGTCTTATCCGCCCCTGTATATCATTCGTTTGATAGCGGGGTGGGAGAACTTGAAGTACCCAAGTAGATCCACTTGGTCTCCTAATGTTTCAGATCGAAGCATTGCGTCAAACTTGTGCTCTGCAATCTGTAGCTGGAGTTTCGGCTTGCGCTTCGTCAGTCTGCGGCAATTCCACTAGAAGAGCCGCAGCGGGGCTCGGTTCGCAGGCTCAGCAGCCATGTTGCGGATTGGTCGCTTGTGGCCTCAAGGGTGTAGCCTGGTACTGTATGTGTGGTACCAATTGTTGCAACATATCTTCAAACCGCTGTTCTTGTTGTTGTAATTGCTGCTGCGTCTGCTGCAGCACCATCTGTTGTTGCTGTGCGTGTTGTTGCTGCACCTTTAGCAGAGCTGTCGACCAGTCCTCGGGGGCTGTTTCTTTCTTTTGTTTATGTGACCTTCGGAACCTGCGATACAGGAGCTTGTGGTGCGTCCCTTTCCTGGGCTTCTCTGCTCTCCCTGTGGACTATCACCGTCTCTTGTATCCTCTTTGAGAGCTTAGCAGCCATTCTGGCCTCTTGGGGCACTTTGTCTTGCTCGGCCCGCAATATGGCATCTCGTAGCTGCTGCTGCTGCTGCAGCCTTTCTATCTTACTCTGTGTGTCCTTTGGGCTTTATAGATGGCTTGAATTTCTCTTTGCCAGGCCTTGATGTCTGGGTCGTCGTTGTTAACCAGGCCCCGTTTCTCGGTTCCTCCACGGGCTGCCTTGGCAAAGCTGATACTTCTGCTTCGGCTACGTTGGCGTTGCGCCGGGGTGGACGAGCGGCCGCGGGACTTGCTTCTTTGTCGCGATCTACTTCTGGAAGGTTTTCTTCGGTGCTGGGGCCTGATACCTTTCCGCTGTCTGCTTCTACTCCTCTCCTGCTGCGGTCTTGAAAACGAAGGCTTGAACTGAAAAAAAAAGAAAGAACACGAGCTTTTTTGTTTTTAAAATAAGCAACAGCGTACTCATCTTTTGTTTTCTTCACTAACCTTGTAAATTCGCTCTTTGTCTTCTTATAGAGTATTTTGTTTGGAAATGTACTACCTACTAGATGTTTTCTGATTAAAAATTCGCATCGATATAAGCTGCGATTTATTTCGCCAAATTAGTTTACAAAGGAGCGCAAGAAAGGCTGGCTTTGTTCAAGGGCGGATAGCAATTGACTCGAGCAGAACTCATCTGTAAGTTTTCGCATCTCAAGCCCATTTACAAATTTTTTTCGTAATACTACAACCAGATCTCCAAAAACGTAAAAAAAAAAAAAATAATTGCGCGACGATCACACGACGTGATGCGTTTCGACAGCGGCAGCTGTGTTACTTATTGGACGATATGACGACGATCGATTAACATTGCTCCGATCGTGCGTCATACGGTGATCTGATAAAGAAATTACGTTGCGTTGATGTGGCGTCCATGCGCTGTTAATGCTAATGAATGATTTTAAGGTCCGGATGTGTTTTCCCTCCAAATGTAGCGGGGACTTTAAATTGGTACATAGGTTACGTGGCGTAAATGTTTCTGCTAAATTGAGCGGGTAACCTCAATTATATTGCCAACGGTCTGTAAGTCCCGTGAAGTCAAGTCAGGCGACATTAATTTTCCCGCCAAAATTATTGGGGTAACTGAATTGGTGCATAGGACACGCGACGTCAATTTTCCCGCCAAATTTAGCGGGGAAATTGCAATGGTGCGTAGATCATGTGACGTTAATTTTTCTGCTAAATTTAGCGGGGAAAACAAATTTGTCTGTAGGTCCTGTGACGTCAGGCCCCTGCCTTTAATTCTCCCGCCAAATTTTGCGCAAG